GAGATAGCCCTGTTTCTTCCTACTGTAATGCAAGTGACCTAGAGCAGAATGTAAGAAAAATTAACCTAACTAACTATTAAAGGAATTGGAGGGTAGGCTTTCAAATTTTTCCTTCATCCCAAGAGAAAAGGTGAACATCTGAAACGAAAATAGTGGCGCAGTGGGGATTTTCCTTCCTTTTTCTTGATCTTTAAACTCATTCCACAATATTGAGAAAATGCAGTCTAGATGATTTCTTGCTTTTTAAATCTGTTGGCATTTCTCTTGTGGCCGAGCACATGGCCAGTTTCCATACCTGTGAAACACACACTGGAAAAAATACATGGGTTCTCATTTTAGGTGGACGGGACGTCTCTATTCATTAAGTCAAGAATATTAAGGGTGTTATTAAAAAATAAATTATTCTTTTAAAATCATTTTATTGGGGCTCATACAACTCTTATCACAATCCATCCATTCATCCACTGTGTCAAGCACACACAAATAGACTCTTATGGACATAAATTCTACCCTTGTTGGTGCATCCAGAAAAGCTAGACGTCTGCCTTCTGGGGAAGTTAAAACAAAATACTCTGACACAGACTTTTGCTAAAGGCAAACAGAGATGTGCTGTGAGATTGATCACAGCCTGGAGATACAGGGAGTGTTTCCTCTACGTGCCTCTCTCAAAGGGCAACGGGATAATATTTCTATATGATTGGAAGTCAGGAGTCCCGGAAAGGCCCAGTAAGCCTGTTGGGTGATCTCGGTCACTAGACATCATGTGTTTTTCTCATGCTCTTTTCTGATTTCCTGCCGTGTGCCCTGGTTGAGGCAGTAGTCAGTGGCGGCACAAGGAATGACTTCTCTGGCTTCCACCGAGGAATCTGAAGAATAGGTTTCAGTACAACGGCTCTTTAAGAAACATTCTGATTCTCCGATCTGAAATCAAAAGCTAAGAATTTATATCAATGTTTGTTGCTAAGACATCTAGGTAGGACAAGGCATACTAAAACTGTGCGATGAAATGCATTTGTTGATTTAAAAAATCTTAATGACCCCCTAATCCATTCTTCACTCATTACACTTTATCTGATCTTGAGTTGTAGTCGTGTTCTCTTGAGTCATTTATGACTCCATGGAGACCCCTAATGAGAGACTAGAAGTGCCCATAGAATACAAGTCCCCATGGGTAGTGGGGGTACGGGGCACTAACCCACCCAAGGGGAGGGTATTGTTTATATCTCCACAGGAAAAGAGGGACCAAACTTCAACCCAGTGCTCCAAGGTGTGAAGACAACATGCCGGCATGGAGTAGGGAATCAGTGGAGAAGTCTAGGGGGCTGGTCCCAGCCCCAAATACTAAGTGGATGTCTCCCCCTCCCCGAGAAGAATTTATCTCAAAGGATGGCACTGAATCTGCAGCTTTGGGAGAAGGATATATCTGACCAGAGCACACAGGAGCAGATGACAGGGGAGGAGGAGAGACTGGAGCACATCCTGGCCCACCAGGCCTTGAGGA